TGGGGCTGCTGTAGAGGGACTAGACATCTCCATTTCACGGGAGAAGAGTTTATAATCGGACTGGAACACTGGAGTCTGCCATAGCACACTCAGTTGATATGAAGAACATGTGTGAGTTTAAAACACAGAGCAGAACATAAATAAAGGCATCTATAGCAGAGATATCAGGGCAATTTGGAAGTGACAGAGCTGTTCTGGCGATTTCGTTGTGAATATATTCACAACCAACAAAAAGTCTCTACTCTGCCTCCGGCAGGCTGCAAGCTACTTGCTAATAGGAGGTAGGGCAGCGGAAAAGGCTTGTCTCACTAAAATAGATACTGTATTTTTTATAGCCAGTGGTCTGATGCAACTCAGAGAAAGCAGAATTGAGCCTATAAGTCTTCAGACCTCTTGATGAGAACAGCTAATGATGCAAATCACAAATGTGGGTGGAGCAGCTGGGAAACGGCTGAGACATGATAGTGAGTCATGGATGCACTTTCCAGCAGCACCAGGATCTTGCCATCCACCCTTGGCTATGTCTTGTGGAAGTTCTAAAAATGGTCAAGAGACAGCATGGTCCCCAAAGCAGCAGCATGTATGGTGGACTGAATTTTTCTCCCCTAAGTGTTTGTGGTCTCTGGAAGAACATCGTAAAGCTAAACTACTTTAGGTCTTGAGGGATGATGATGTCAGAGACTCTTCTGTGCTCCAGTCTGGAAACCATTCAAGCCAGTAGACACTTTTTATAAAGTGTTTGGAATTTCCTCAAGAATAGGAAGAAATCTCTTCAGTATGCTGTTTCCATCCCATGATACTATGTGGACACTCAGTTCCAGTTTGCTCAAGCCAGACTTAATAAGTCTGCGGTCTTGTAAAGACACAGCCTATTGCTACAGAGCACACAACACATTTTCCCACAGGAAGAGACACGGGGGCACAGAGGAAAGGGGGGAAGGACAAGGTCTTATGGCTTTGCAAAGGAAAAATATGAATCTTGGAATTTATTGGATCTAAAGTCATGCTTGGGTTCCTGAACTAACAGCCTCCAGATTAAGTAGAATATTAATCTCTTGTAATTTGAGATTGTTCATCTGGGAAATGGAGACAATAGTGGACACTTTATAGAATTCCTGATAAGACTAATTATGACAGTGTATATAAAACACCGTGTGTGGTTCTAGGGGATCAGTTATTCCCCTCACATTATTTGTTTTGGTCATGTGACTATAATAGTGTAGAACATAATATGTCATCTTATATTCTGCCGTTAAATTCTGAAAACTACAGTAAACTCTGAGGTTTTCTTCTCTGAGTTGATCTCTTATGATTTTGGCTTTTACTTGCTTGCAGGTTGACTTAATGCTCCCATGAGATTCTTCTGTCTGTGGATGGAGCATAGTATGGTAAGATGAATTCTGGAATATTAGCTGCTGGCAACTCCAAAAACAATGTCTGATATTATGTCACGACCAAACTTATATCCCCATGAGGTTTTAAACCAGTCAGTTTTTAAAATGTATTTTAAATTTTTTTCTCAGATAATTTCATATATGTATAGAGCATATTTTAATCATATCTGTCCCCATTCCACCTTTCCAATCCCTCTCAGAGCCTCCCCACAGCTGCCTACCAACTTCATGTCCTTTTTTAATTTTTTTTGTGACCCATTGAGTCAAATTAGTATAAACCATTCATTGTTCTTGTTTGACTAACTTTGACTAATACATATTACAGTAGCTCAATTCAAAAGCATGTTTATATAAGACAGATTCATTAAGATATCTGATCTTTGTCTTTTGAAAATCAAAGCATCATCTATCCTCGTAAAAATATCAACCAACTGTTAGTAATTATCCTTCAATCATTACTTAACAATGTACTAAAACAGTGCTAAACTTTGATGAACATTCTAATAACCTGGGGAATCTTTTTTTAAAAAATCATACAAGTTCCTCCTTGGCAATTGTACACCTTGCAGCTTAATGGCTGCAGAGTGTGACTGGACATGGGACTTTCCCAGATGACTCTGGCTCACAGCAGGGCTTGAGAACTGCTGATTGGCTAGAGTTACTCATTACCGAAGAGCCATTAAAAAAACAAAACTTGCTTACAACTGCACACATGTGTTTGCATTGGAATCATTCAGCTCGTGTTCGTTGATTCATGTGATAAATATTTGTCTAAAACATTTTGAGACACAACCTTCTTAAAGTATGTTGTTTTTAACAGTACTGATTCATTTGTGTTTGCCTCCATAATCAGGGAAAACACTTTATTGCAAGGTAAAGAAGAGCTTGTGAGCTTAATGGAGACTCTTTTGCTTAAAAAAAAAATAAACTTTACATGTTCCATGCCAAAATAATCCATTAGTGTTCTCTTTTTCTCTCTGAAGATATTCTGTTTTAATAAAATATGAAAGTAAGATAGCAATTCAGATATAGCAGTTTTTTTCTAGGTTTCATATTGCAGTGTTAGAGACATGCCATGTATGCATGACACAAGTACAAAATAATATGGGACATCCCCTCTGCAGAAAACAGAATAATCCCGCTCAAAGTAATGACTGAAGCAATCTCTGAAACGACTGAGCGAGAGTTCTCAATGAATAAGAATGGGAAAGAGTATGTAGGACCCAGGGGTTAAAGAAAAAGTCTTGAGAGGTGAATTGAGTATGCTGGGCTTGGAAGTGGTGGCAGAATTTGAAAGGTGGGGGAAAGAACTGGGTTTCTATAAATCAAGAACAAACACATAGAAATGATGTAAGTTTCAGTGCTGTAGCAAACTGTAGATAGAAGTTTCTGTCTTGCCTGGTCCCGCAGCTGTTAAGTCTTAAATAAACAGCCAGAGGCTTGTATTAACTATAAACTGTTTGGCCTATAGCTCAAGCTTATAACTAACTAGCTCTTATGCTTAAATTAACCCATAATTCCCATCTATGTTTAGCCACATGGCTTGGTACATTTTCTCAGTCCAACATTCCTATACATCTGGCTGGCAACTCTATCTTTGCCTTTCCTCTTCCCAGAATTCTCCTAGTCTGGTTGCCCCACCTACACTTCCTGCCTGGCTACTAGCCAATCAGCATTTTATTAAAGCAATATGAGTAACAAATCTTTACAGTGCATAAGAGCATTTTCCCACATCATTGCAGGTGGGACAGAAACTTCCATCTACAGCAAAGAGCTTGCTATTCTCATGAAAATAACAATAGGAACTGTGAGATTTTTCAAAACAGCATGACAATAAAATGAGCATATTATACTTGCTCACCATTTTCTAGTTTCCAGAAAAATAAGTGGTGTACGTTATGTGACTCAGCTTCCATTACTATAGCAATTATCTATAATAATCAATGTACAAGGGGAATGGGTCTATTTTAGCTCACAGTTTTCAAACTTTAAGCCAGTGACTGATTGGCCTTTTGTAGGACAGAACACCAGGCAGGTGTGGAGGAAGAGAACTCACTCCTCACTCACCTCACAGCGAAGAGGCAAGAGTGACAAGACCCAGAGACTACCCATTGACCCTTCCTCTTAAAATGTTCACCATCTCCCTATAGCACCAAACTGGGGAACAATCGTTTTCTACATGAGGATCTTGGGGAGACATTCCAAATTTAAGCACTGGGACAATAAGTGCTTGATAAATTCTTATAGATCAAATGACTGAATGAGAAAAACAAAGGAAGGACTGAATCAGATTGACACTTGTCAATCACCTGAATGTCCAGTCATGTGCTAGAAAGTAGGAACACATCCATGAATGACAGCCTAGTTAGCTGTTGCCTTTGCTTTGTTTGAGACAGTTCTC